ACTGTCCCCACCCAGAAAGAGCGAACATTGTACACAAATGTAGATAACCAGACATCTATGAGACTCCCGGTCTACGAGGGCGAGCGGGAGAGGTCAACAGACAACAACCTGCTCGCGCTGTTTATTCTGAATCCGAGCGAGAGCTGATTAATCAACTTACCAGTTTCATTTTGGTTATTTATTCTAGTTTTCCCTCACTTTGTTCTTTCAGTAATGGCTGCAAAAGGCCAGGAGCCTGCAATCGGGATTGATTTGGGGACCACTTACTCATGCGTGGGCGTGTGGCACCACGACCGCGTCGAGATCATAGCCAATGATCAAGGTAATCGAACGACGCCCTCTTATGTCGCTTTCGCCGACGGCGAGCGTTTCATAGGCGAAGCCGCCATTAACCAGGCCGGCTTGAACCCCGCAAACACAGTCTTTGGTGAGCAGCTTTTTTCCCCAATTTTTCTTCTGTTTTATTTTCGTAGTGTTATATTGAATTCTTTTTTTAAATTTCCTAGTGTTGTATTGAATTTCAGTTGCACAGTATATGTGAGGTGTTGATATTGGTATTAATTAGTTCATATTAAGAAACAACCCTACTCTGCCTCTAACCGTGTTGGGCGATATGCAGATGCCAAGCGGTTGATCGGGAGACGATACAGCGCGCCTCTGTGCAAGCTGACATAAAGCTGTGGCCTTTCAAGGTTGTCCCGGACGCCACGGACAAGCCCATGATTGTGGTCTCCCACAACGGTGAGGAGAAGCAGTTCCCCCCTAAGGTGATATCTTCCATGGTCTTCACCAAGATGGCCGTCATTGCCGACTCCTATCTGGCCCCACCCTTGTCCGGGATGCCGTCATCACCGTCTCGGCCTACTTTAGCAACNCCTATCTGGCCCCACCCTTGTCCGGGATGCCGTCATCACCGTCCCGGCCTACTTTAGCAACTCTCAAAGACAGGCCACCAAGGATGCCTGTGCCATTGCCGGCCTCAATGTCATCCGCATCATCAATGAGCCCACTGCTGCCGCCATTGCCTATGGCCTCAACTACAAAGCAGAGAAGAAGAATGTGTTGGTCTTCGACTTAGGAGGTGGCACCTGCGACGTCTCTATCCTGACAATATCAAAGGGTACCTTCGAGGTGAGGGCCACCGCTGGCGACACCCACCTTGGCGGGGAGGATTTCGACAACCGCATTGTTGCTCACTTTGCCAAAGAGTTCAAGCGCAAGTACAACAAGGACCTTTCTGAAATCCTGCGGGCCCTACGGAGGCTGAGGACAGCTTGCGAGAGGGCGAAGAGGGTTCTCTTGACCAATACTAAGACCAATGTGGACGTTGAGTGTCTGCACGAGGGGATTGACTATCACTCTAGCATTACCCGCGCTAAATTCGAGGATCTCAACATGGACCTGTTCGAAAAATGCACCGAGCCTGTAGAGAGCTGCCTGAGAGATGCTGGGGTGGAGAAGGCTGCCATCCATGATGTCGTTCTGGTTGGAGGCTCGAGCAGGATTCCCAAGGTTCAGAAGATGCTGCAGTTTATTTTCGAGGGAAAGGAGCTGNAAATTCGAGGATCTCAACATGGACCTGTTCGAAAAATGCGCCGAGCCTGTAGAGAGCTGCCTGAGAGATGCTGGGGTGGAGAAGGCTGGCATCCATGATGTCGTTCTGGTTGGAGGCTCGAGCAGGATTCCCAAGGTTCAGAAGATGCTGCAGTTTATTTTCGAGGGAAAGGAGCTGTGCAGGAGCATTAACCCGGATGAGCTGCCTGTAGAGAGCTGCCTGAGAGATGCTGGGGTGGAGAAGGCTGCCATCCATGATGTCGTTCTGGTTGGAGGCTCGAGCAGGATTCCCAAGGTTCAGAAGATGCTGCAGTTTATTTTCGAGGGAAAGGAGCTGTGCAGGAGCATTAACCCGGATGAGGCTATTGCGTCCGGTACCGCCGTGCATACAGCCGTCCTACGTGGCATAGGGGACGACAAGGTGAGGGACCTCGTACTCCTCGATGTGACCCCTCTCTCACTAGGAGTGCACACTGTCGGGGAGGCCATGTATGTCGTGGTCCCGCAGAACACGACTGTCCCCACCCAGAAAGAGCGAACATTGTACACAAATGTAGATAACCAGTCATCTATGAGACTCTCGGTCAACGAGGGCGAGCAGGCAAGGTCAACAGACAACAACCTACTCGCGCAGTTCATACTGAATCCGAGCGAGAGCTGATTAATCAACTTACAAGTTTGATTTTGGTTATTTATTAAAGTTTTCCCTCACTTTGTTCTTTCAGTAATGGCTGCAAAAGGCCAGGAGCCTGCAATCGGGATTGATTTGGGGACCACTTACTCATGCGTGGGCGTGTGGCACCACGACCGCGTCGAGATCATAGCCAATGATCAAGGTAATCGCACGACGCCCTCTTATGTCGCTTTCGCCGACGGCGAGTGTTTCATAGGCGAAGCCGCCATTAACCAGGCTGGCATGAACCCCGCAAACACGGTCTTTGGTGAGCAGTTTTTTTCCCCAATTTTTCTTCTGTTTTATTTTCGTAGTGTTATATTGAATTCCTTTCTTAAATTTCCTAGTGTTGTATTGAATTTCAGTTGCACAGTATATGTGAGGTGTTGATATTGGTATTAATTAGTTCATATTAAGAAACAACCCTACTCTGCCTCTAACCGTGTTGGGCGATATGCAGATGCCAAGCGGTTGATCGGGAGACGATACAGCGATGCCTCTGTGCAGGCTGACATAAAGCTGTGGCCTTTCAAGGTTGTCCCGGACCCCACGGACAAGCCCATGATTGTGGTCTCCCACAATGGCGAGGAGAAGCAGTTCCCCCCTGAGGAGATATCTTCCATGGTCCTCACCAAGATGGCTGCCATTGCCGACTCCTATCTGGCCCCACCCTTGTCCGGGGTGTCGTCATCACCGTCCCGGCCTACTTTAGCAACTCTCAAAGACAGACCACCAAGGATGTCGGTGCCATTGACGGCCTCAATGTCATCCGCATCATCAATGAGCCCACTGCTGCCGCCATTGCCTATGGCCTCAACTACAAAGGAGAGATGAAGAATGTGTTGGTCTTCGACTTAGGTGGTGGCACCTGTGACGTCTCCATCCTGACAATATCAAAGGGTACCTTCAAGGTGAGGGCCACCGCTGGCGACACCCACCTTGGCGGGGAGGATTTCGACAACCGCATTGTTGCTCACTTTGCCAAAGAGTTCAAGCGCAAGTACAACAAGGACCTTTCTGAAAACCTGCGGGCCCTACGGAGGCTGAGGACAGCTTGCGAGAGGGCGAAGAGGGTTCTCTCGACCAATACTAAGACCAATGTGGACGTTGAGTGTCTGCACGAGGGAATTGACTTTTACTCTAGCATTACCCGCGTTAAATTCGAGGATCTCAACATGGACCTGTTCGAAAAATGTGCCGAGCCTGTAGAGAGCTTCCTGAGAGATGCTGGGGTGGAGAAGGCTGCCATCCATGATGTCGTTCTGGTTGGAGGCTCGAGCAGGATTCCCAAGGTTCAGAAGATGCTGCAGTTTATTTTCGTGGGAAAGGAGCTGTGCAGGAGCATTAACCCGGATGAGGCTGTTGCGTACGGTGCCGCCGTGCAGGCAGCCGTCCTACGTAGCATAGGGGACGACAAGGTGCGGGACCTCGTACTCCTCGATGTGACCCCTCTCTCACTAGGAGTGCACACTGTCGAGGAGGCCATGTA